ATGTGTGTGGGTGTGGGTGCGGGGTGTGGTTGCGGGTGTGGGTGTGACTGTGGACTTTATTAAAGATTACACCCGCACCCACACCCACACCCACACCCCACACCCACGCCCACCCACACCCGTCTGCTTCCGACGTGTCCTTCTATAGTCCATTTAGCCGTTATTGTAAGCGTTTAGAAATCATCAAATTGGAAAGTTAAGATATTTATTTATCATTGGCTATTTTTCAGCACCTGTGAGAATAGCGAATAGTTTAGCAGGTACTGCGATGACTGCGTCGCAGATGCGGACGGATATGCGTCGTAGTGAACACAGTCTACTTCCTTAAGCTCGGATGCGACCACTGCGTGACAGTAACGCGCAACTGCGTCGCAAAATGGCTATTGCGCGTAACTGCGACGCAGTTGTTAAAATAGTGGTGACATGGGCAAAGCTAATATAGAAATTTTCTGCAGCTGATTACTGCAGACATTCATAATTATTTTTCATACAGTGTTTGCTACTGCGCACCATCTCATCGAAGAATTCTCATTACGAAAACTTTCAATTAGTATTATAGTACCCTTTTCGAGCTTTTCTTGCTCGAGAAACAGCGCTGAAGGACATCCAGGTACACAAAAAAATTATTATTGACTTAAGAAATCTTCGAACATCTTTTGTTTGTTCGTTTGATTCAATGAACAGCTCGATTCATCCCATAGGGATTTTATTTGTCTCAGCAATCCGACTAAAAACTTCCTCATAACGTTCGAACAATGTACACTCAAGGGCGATGGGAATCACGCATGTGATTTGAGTTTTGGCATGGAAAATGTCAGCGAAACAATATTCATAGGATCTAGGCTGGACGGACCAGGGAAATTTATGAGCTGGCTCGGGCTGAGCTGCCCCGAAATGAGAACGAGTCGGACGAACCACCATTTAAGCTGAACCACATTGAACCGGATTGGGCCATAAAAACAAGGCCCATTTCGATCTCTGGTCGAAGTATCTCAAGAATATCATTGATAGTCTGTACCTATTTATTTTTACCCCATGTTGCTGTTCTGTTGATAAGCAAAAAAACAAAAACAACAGTAGAGAAAAATATTTGTATCATATCACATAACCAGTAAGAGAAAATTGTCTTAGCCATGGGTTTTTTGAAGTGCTTTATCAGTTTTCCTTTTGCACATTTCTTTTGCATCTCACACAATGTAAATAACAAAAACCAAATAGAGACACGAGTCGGTCGTCACTCACGTAAAGTATACTAAGCGTTATTGTTTGCTAACTATAAATTATCACACTGAATACGTCAATTGCTGTCTGAATGCAACAGACAACGCAACAACGAATGAAAAACGACAATAAAGGAGTTAAAATATCTGTAAAATTTTATATTCAGCATTGACAAGTAATTTTTTTCACAAGAACTTCAACAACGATGGGCAATTCACATCGACGAAAGCAAAGCTATACACTCCCATCAAGTGTGCATTCTCAAACTGAAATTCCAACACATTATCGTTCTTCGAACGTTGTTTTGAAAGCAACTAACGACGTACACTCGATAGGTGAGGAGGCGTTTAAAATCTCCCTCAAAGATTTGATTGATTATATTCAATTACTTCGTGAGGCAATAAAAAATCTACATATGATTCAAGAAAAAGAGAGTTTGAATTCTCATATTGATGAATACTGCCGTAAAATGGCTATTGAAGAATTTTTTACCGACTATCAACGACAATGTCTAAAGATTGTTCAGAAAAGATATGCGAATACGTTGTAAAATGGAGCGAGATTGTAAATGACAATCGAAATTCAGAATAGTACAATGATATTCTCAAAAATTGATACAATACCCACCAAATTGTTCTTGTTGCAACAATTTTTTAGGGCAAAAGAGAGATCACTTAGTGAATACTTGGCAACAAATATAAGCTGTTTAACTTGTTTACAATCTTTGATCAACACTGAGTTATCTGCTGACAAACGAAGAGTTCCATGACAACATATAAAATTTACGTGATACATGTTGAGGTATGAAAGGAATTCAAATATTTTGTGAAATGCGATCTTAAAGAAATGTTAAAGTGCTTAAGGGTAGAAGTTTGGATCCACTCTTTCCCTTCCCCCCATACGCACACGCAGACTATGACACTCACGTGACCCATTAGAAGCCATGACAGACAGACTCCAGAGATCACCCTAGGCTGTGATGGAAGACTTCAAGGAAGTATCAGAGATAATGCATAACTAACACAGGATTGAAGCATATATGAATTATTATCCTATTCAAGTTCTATAATGTAGAGTAAACCATGATGAAGAAATATATACCAATATGCATAGAAAAGAACAATTTTTAGAAGCTTGACGACAGCAGCTACATCGTTTTTCACATTTTTAATCTCGCAAGGGATCGCACTAACAGCTTTCTGTCTATGACAATTTTCATGTTCATAACATACTTTTGTGATATACCACAGGGTGAAAATTTCAGTAGATGGCATGTGGAAATACCTATTCAAAAAATAACCTTTCATCATTATGGATTAAACAAAAAAATGCTGATTTCTAAACTGTCAAGATAGTTCATAGGTTCTTTTCACATATGAAAATTTGAAAAAAAAATGATGTTGAAGAATGAATAATTAACTAATTCATATCTCTCTGTTTGCATAATTGATGGTTTCAGTTACTTGTTCAAATCAAATCTCTGAGTAATACTAAGGCTATTCGATTACTCAAAAGCTAAACTGAAATATAAATGACATTAACAGTGTGGTTACCATGAAGTCTTTCCAATTTCTGTTTTTAATGTTCAACATTACGCGGAATCATTACCAATGATATCGGTCTAAAGCAAACCTACATTGATACAATAGCTACTGCGTATTGTAAATCTTCAAATTTAGTTCATTCATACTGAATAGCATGATAGTTATAGATTTTGATGTTACTTGATTGTTACTTCCTAAAAGTGAAATCAAACGTTACGTTGACATCCTTTATGAAAAATCATTTACCATGGCCAATACTCTGGATTTGGCATGTGCACCGTCTTCACCCTATTGAATATTACAACGATTGCACCCAGCAACTTCCAAACCGTCAGCTAATGGATCCTAAAGTTATCTATGTTCCTTCTTCGATGCCAACAGATTCTAAAAAGCTATCTTTCGTACCGTCAATCGATTTGGTAGCATCTTCTCTTCGTCAAATTCTGTTTCTTGAAAAATTCAAGGAACATCCTCTCTATTCAACCGATTTACAGAGAATAAGTCGCCCGGTTTTTGGAAAAATGATAGAAGATTACATATCGTTTTTGAGATTGAGTAAGCGAAAGCAATTAATCATACCTACTTTCAACATAGATATAATATGGCATACACATTTACAAAATCCTACACACTATCGATTCATGACAATTGCTTTATGTGGCTATGTACTCAATCACGATGATTCAATTGATGAAAAAACGCTAGCGAGTGCTTTTTCAGAAACCACACATTTATGGAATTCCTCGGACAATTCAAAATATAGTCAGAATCCGACAAACAGACGTACAAAACCTGAAACTACTGTCAATAAAAAATCAGCTCCTGCGTTTTCTATTGGTCTATCGAGCAGTGCTTGGGTCGCATCTTGCGAAAGTACTGGTGACAGCCGTCGCATTCACAATAGTGGTACTAGCCGCGGTGGTAGCGGCGGTGACTAAGAGGGCTCACGGATTAGTCCCGAGATTTCTCCTCACAGTGTCTACATTTCATGATACTATGTTATTTTTAGCATGGACACATTCCTACCAGAAGGAGTTCAGAAATTTCCAAATTCTCTGAGAATGTTCAAATTTGTTTCTCTTTATTGTCACGTTATATTTTTTGAAATAAAATAAATGTCCTTAATTTACTCATTCAGAAATCTGTTCGTATCTAAGGAGAACTGTCGAATCTTTTGCTCAAATAACTTACTCAATTTTTTCAATCCATGAAATTAAGATAATACTTGATGAATCCCACTGGATGGCGGGGGGAGGGGAGAGTGTGAGGAGTGGATGTGGATGGAGTGTCGGTGTGAGTGTTCATGGAGAGATATTAACATCCGCATCCACTTCCTCACCCCCACCCACATCCACAGCCACATCTCACACCCACATCCATACCCCACACCCACACCCACATCCTAGACTATTTGAAAATTTTAGAAAATTTCACTCGCTTTTCAGAATAATCTCGTTCACAAAAAATTAAAATTCTATTAAGAAAAGCAGTAATACTTTCGATTTTCTTTTTATTTATTATAAATTTGATTTGTTCAATATGTACTAATGGGTTCAAATGTTTGTAAAAATGTGAGCCACCGTCAAGCGAACGTATCATAATAAACTTATATAAAATCCTGTCGAACTTGAACAGAGAAAATATTAGTAAATAAATCATGTGACTTTTTATTACAAATAATTTTCTTATGATGTATTATTCACTGTTTTGTTTTTTGCATTAATGACTTACGAGGGAACCGCCCAAGATGATTCATCTCGTTTTAGCTCATATTTATGGCACATATAGGAGACCTATAGACTAGGATAAATCCCAAAAGATATGGGCCCATGACCTTTCTATCACGAGAAATCGAATTTTCAACCTTCTCACAGTATAACGATTTTCACTGTATACCACCACAGGAAATCGCGAAGAAAAACGAATTAAAAATTTAAATATTTTTTAGTAATATATATGATTATATCAATTTTGAGGTTTTCAAGGTTTAATTCAACTATGTATGCCGTACTATTTCTTATACATACTAGAACGTTGACGAATGTGTCAGTTTAATAATGGCAGATGAAAAAATGGGTATTCTATACATTTTATCGCGTTCTGTTATAATATACGGTAGAGACTAACGTAGATTATAGCTGTTGACGCGTACAAAAGTGTTTTGCGAAATACGTGATTCTGTACAGTATTCATTGTGTAGTATTTCATTTTTCACTCCGCTGCTTAATCAGAACGATGATTAGTCCTATAAGAATTGCAAAACTGTTAGTCGATCGAGTAACTCAAAATCAAGGTCCACATCGTCGGGGAACAAAATCAAATCCACATGAGGAAGAAATCATCAATTCCTTACTTAAGATGATCGATGATGTTTGCAACTGCACATCTTATCAAATTGAATCGGATACCAGTCTCGATTATGATGACGAAGAAGAATATGGTGATTTCGAAGATGAAGATACCGACTCTACTGATGAAACTGTTCATCCTGGCTTTGATGAATCCACAGTGGACGAAAATCTGATGATCAAAGCGAATTTCAGTTTGGAGTATATGAAAAAAGTTATCGACTATTACGATGCGCGCGATTCGAAAGGAAGAAGAAAGCACACATGAAAGTCTACTCAACATCGGTTCAAATCCCTTCCTCACCGACAGTATATTGCACGTTTTCGTCACTATATTGAACAATATGGTACCAAGCAAGAAAAGTTACAAATCATCGATGATTTCGTGTATGATATGTTTGAAGAAGCTCGAGAAAATATTTTGCCTGTTCATGATAGAGATCTAAAACGATGGGCACTATTAAAAGCTACTGAAGATTCAAGTTTTTTATTTGAAGCATCCGAGCACTGGTTGCGAGTGTTCAAACATCGCCATCGTATTTGTTCCAGAAAAATTACGAAATTAGTAACTCGTCATCATGCAGAAGATACTGATGCTATTATTGAATCTGCAGACTCATTTGTACGTGCTGTTAAACAACAGATGCAGAACTATGCACATGAAGATATTTTATATACCAATCAGGTAGGATTGGAGTTGAAGCTTCACTCCAGTAGAACCTTTTCGTATGAGGGCGAAAAAATTACTATGATACGTGTGAGGTCAAAAAATGCTACAACACATTCTTACACAGTTCAACCAATGATATCTTTAGCTGGAAAATTTGTCGGTCCTCTCTTTCTTTGTTTGAAGGAGCCAAAAGGAAAGATGAGTGAAAGTGAGTTGATCTGTTTTTCTTCTTATATGTAACACACTGATTTATATTTCATTAGATATAAAAACGAAATTATTTCCTGCTTCGAATGTCGTTGTAACATGCAGCTCTTTAGGAAAACTTACTAGTTCATTAGTTGAATATTGGACAGATCATGTACTTCGTACGTCTGTACAATCACAATTTCTCTTACTGTCGGACTATTGGCCTGGCCAAAGAAATATAGATATATATTCTGCTATCAAAGGATATAAAAGGCTAGAAATCCCTGCTCATACTACATCACGTATTCAACCGTTTGATGTTTTCTTTAATAGACAGTGGAAATTGATTACTCGACGTCTTTTCAATTATGTTCAACTCGATGATATTGCGATTAATTTGTCTGAAAGAAATAATATAATTCGTTTAAATTCTCTCATTCACAATCAGTTATCCTCACATCTGTTCGCGCCTATGATAAAATACGCATGGTTTGCATCAGGCTACATAGACCAACATCCGGGACCTTTTCAGACTGTCAATGATATTTGCTTCGATATCGGCAGTAACTTCTGCGAACAGTCGAGCTGTAACTCACTCTCATTTATTTAATGCAGCCAATATCGTAAATTTCTTTGCTTTGAGCACTTTTTTGAAGCTTACCATTTTCATAATTAAGCGCTTGACCTCTATCTATTGGATTAAATAACATCGAATATAATCCATCGCATAAAATAAAACTACTATCACGCTACTATGATTCATGATAAGATAAATGAAATCTCATAAGAGATAGCTTTCTCAAAAATATTTAAATTTTTAATTCGTTTTTCTTTGCGATTTCCTGTGGTGGTATACAGTGAAAATCATTCTACTACGAGAAACTTGAAAATTCGATATCTCGTGATAGAAAAGCCATGGGCCCAAATCCTTTGGGATTTATCCTAGTCTAGAGGTCTTCTATATGTGCCATAAATATGAGCTAAAACGGGATGAATCATCTTGTGCGGTTCCCTCGTTAGTCTTTCTCAAATTAATAAATATTATTGGCTGATATTTTGATTTTTACCTGTGAAAATATCTCAATACAAGCTAGGTTTTAACATTTTTGTCTTTTGCCTTATTCAATCATAAATTAAATAAAAGTATATGCAGCAAAATTTTACTTATAAATCAAAGAGTTCAATCAATTTAAACGATATCTAGTTAAATCGAAAACGATTCCAATTCACTAATCAAATTTAATTTTTCAAAAGTAGTGTGTCTTATTCTACATGAATCTTTCATTATTTTATAGAGGTAAAAACTTGGAAGTAAATACATAATTCAGACTCCAGAATGATAATTACTAGATTTTCAAGCAAAAACAACTGTTCTTCAAAGAAATATCGTTTGTAAATTATAATGGGTATTAAAGAGTGTGGGTGGTTGGGTGTGGATGTGGATGGGTGAGTGTGGGTGAGTGGATGTGGGTGTGGACGGGTGGGTATGGGTGTGGGCGTGGGTGTGGGTGGGTTTCAGGAATAAGAATGCCCACACCCACAACCACCTACACCCGCACCCACACCCTACACCCACACCCACAGTATCATTATTAGTATTTCTTGAGCGTGTGTGTGAGTGTGAGTGTGGGGTGGGTGTGGGGTGTGGGTGTGGTGTAGGTGTCGGTGTGGGTGTGTTGGTGTGGACGTGAATGTGGGTGTGAGTGTGGCTCT